AAGAACCAAGATACGTCATGTAAAGGTACAAGATCCCAATGATGAATGTAACTGTATTTTATACCTAAAATGTACCAATAAACTTAATGGGGGGGAAAAAAGCAAAAAATTTAGCATCCAACATCTCTTTTGGGCTGCTTTTTAGAATATGTTAGCAGAGAAGCAAGACTCAAATTTTCTGCTAGTTAATTTGGGTACCTGTTGGCTCCATTGTCTTATATTTGTATTTAATTTATGTTTACATCTATATTTAAACTACTTATCTGTGACTGCTGTGCTATCTTAGGCCCATTATGGTTTGAAATGTGCTTTTCAGTTTGGAGCACCTGCACTAACATTTTTTTCATACTGAACTTTTTACATTTATAGGTGTATTTGTCAAACCTTGCATGAGAAGATCACAATTTTAGTGACTCATCAGTTGCAGTACCTAAAAGCTGCAAGCCATATTCTGATACTAAAAGATGTAAGTAATTTTGAGATATTTGCTGAACTGCTTAGTCCTCAGGTGTGTTGAAGGAAGAGTCTCCCAGCAGATTACTTGCCTCGGGCTTCTCTGGAAACTTTCTCTTCTTCCTCCATTTTGTATCCCTTTCTTAAGAGATTCATGCCTTTGAGAAGAAATTGAAAGGACTTGTAGAAATGTCACCATTACACCCTAAAACATAACACCCTAAACTATATAAAATTGCTAAGCTGCAACTGTTACAGTGAAATTGTTAATAATGACGCTCTGTTCTTTAGAAATTTGTCTCCTTTTTTCCACAACTTAAGAATAGATCATTTGGAAATTACAGATGTAAGACAGGTTTGCCTCCATTCGATAGTTATGCAGTTTGCCTGAAGAGCATCTTCCATCAATAACAGCACCATGATTGGGTGGCTGAGCGCCCCCTGCTCAGAGTACCCGCCTTCCTGACAGAGCCGGGTGCTGGCTGCACTGCACAGGTCTTTTTGGTGCCGATTGGGTGACAGCTGCACAGCCCTCAGTAGGACGAAGCCCTTGCCATGGTAAGGCTTCCCTCCTCACTGGGGGTGGATGCCATGAAGAAGAGGGGCTGGGGCAGCCAAGGGGACCTGAGAGACAGGACATGAAGGTGCGTGCCATGCCATCACTTGGGCGAGGACCATCTGACGCAGGGAGGCTGGTGGCATGTTCCTGAGGGAGGAAGGCACCTGGCATATGGAGGAATGCAGGGCGCCCCAGGCTGACTGGGGCTGAGTGAGCCAGGGAGGGTGTGGAGGGAGACAGCTGAGAGCACTGGGCAGTAGGCCTGGAATTGAGATGGAAGCTGTTGTTTGATCCAGAGCACAGAAACGGTGTGGTCTGATTGGTGGTTTTTTTTTTTTTTTTTTTGCATTTGGGACTGAATCCAGGACCTTTGCACTGACCTACATCTTTAGGACTTTTTAATTTTTTATTTTAAAACAAAGTCTCACTAAGTCACTAAGTTGCCCGGGCTGGGCTCCAACTTCCAATTCTCCTGCCTCAGCCTCCCAGAAGGCTGGGATTAGAGGCATGACGTCACCATGCCCAGCCTGATTTGTGATTTTTAAAAGATCCCTCCCAGTGTTCAATGGAGGGGCACAGCAGAAGCAGAAGTCTCCGTGTGGGGGGAGAGGTGTAGGCTTGGGTGAGTGGATCAGTTTGACTGGGTGGCCAGAACAGGTAGCCCAAACCGGTGACTTAAGACAACAGGCTGTGATTGTCTCGTGCTGCTGGAGCCTGCAGGTCTGATGTCAAGACCGCGGTGGGGCTCTGCTCTCTAAAGTGGAGAGACCCTCCTCACCTCTTCCACCTCTTGGTCTTTTGCTGGCAAGCCCTAGCCACTGCGCAGCCCCCTTATTTAAATGCAGGATGATCAAAAGTTGCATATGTTTTGTTAATTTTTTATAAAATAACAGGAAATATAAAAATTACAATTTAATCAAATTTATTTAATAATTTTTCCACGTATGATATATCTTAAAATATTCAGTGTGCAACACAGTATTGCAATCTGGACAGTTTTGCATTATTGTCTTACTTTGAACAACACACTTTACACTGTTGTGTCGGCTTTTCCTTTTTTCCCTGTGGGTGGTATAGTTTCAATAAAATATCTACACTAAATGTGCTGGTGAAGACGTCAATGATGGATATCCTGGTTGGCATTTCATTATCCTGTCTTTTTCAATTATTTGGTCTATTAAACCTAATCTAAATTTTAAATGACTTTTTGAACCCCCTTGTTTTGAATAAATAACATGAGTTTCATACTGTTTGGTCTGGAAGGTGCATAAATATTTTATTTAATTAATTTATTTTTCTTAAATTATTTTATTGGTACATTTTAGATATACAGTGCATTTATATTCATCATTGGGATCTTGTACCCTTACACCTTGGTTCTTATTTTTTCTCCATTCCCCTGCCCTCCCTTCCCTATTTACAAAGACTTTGTTTCCATTTTTTTCCTTTTCTCATATTTTTTCCTTTCCCTTCTTTTCTTTTGCATAAATATTTTATAATATTTTTTCCTCACTTCTTGTTTACAGGATAGCTTGGTAGATGTTGGTCACCTCTGTCAACACTCCCCATAGAATTATAATCAGTGACCACTATTGGAATTTTCTTAGTTTTGCTTCTTCTTTTCAAGTTCTGTCATTTCTGTATTATGAGTAGTTGACCATAAGGAGACATCTTTTTCTCTCTCCGTTTCATAACAGAGTTTTCCTCTCTGATATGCTAACATTTCTCCATTTTCCAGTTTTTCCTTTTGCAGATCTTTTGGCACTTCCTTCCTACTCAGTCTCAGTGTCCCAAATGTGTCCATTTTGTATTGTAGAAGAATATCACTGAGTACTAGAGAAGTATAAAAATTAAATCTAATGTACTTATGATAAGACCCTTTATAGATCGTAGCACAAAATTATAGGTTATTTTTCACAAATAAGTAAAAGACAGTAGTCAGAACTTACTGTTAGATTTCATTAGAAACAAACATCAGAGGTGAATACAACATTCTAAATTAAAAAGTATGCAAAAGATAGTTGATGTAAAACAAACAGCCATATGATTGTGTCTCGTGCAAAAAGGAATCAACTGGTTTAAATGACACCTGCCCGAGTGACACTTGGGATAGTCAATATGTAGCCAAACACTGCCCCAGTGACACTTGGGGTGAACTGTCATGAGGTTCACATTCTTTGGCTTGGCTCTTTGGCACCTGCCTTTTGCCTCCATTGTCACATGGGATGGTCCTGTGTCTGTCAGAATTCTTACAGGGACACCATTCATGTTGGGCTTAGGCCTCACCGACTCGTGAATGACCTCATTTTGACTTGATGGCATCTGTAAAGGTCCTGTTTTCAAATAAGGTCACGTTCACCCGTACTAGGATTTAGGACTTGAATGTAACTTTTTGGGAGCCACTGTTTAACCCACGATGAGCCCCCAGCCTTGGGGAGGTGGCGGTGAGTGAGACTTTCACAGATGGCATGATGGCTCGATGCTTGGCTTGTGGCCTCTGTGCCTCACAATCCCTGCCATTACCCCTCACCTTTGCAGTAGGTCCTGGGTTAAGTCCCTCATTGTAGGTCAGAAGCCATCGTAGAAAGCCATCTCCTCAGTACCTTCAAATGTTTTTGTATTTCCTCTCTGTATTCATCAGCTTTGAGTTACCACGTTGAAATACCTGAGGCAGCTAATATAAAGAGACAAAGGTTGTTCAGCTCACAGTTTTGCAGATCCAGGGGCATACTGCCCACATGGGCTTGGTTCTGGCAAAGGCCCTTCCAGCTTTAGTCACATGATAGCAGAGCCCCATTGTGGGGAAGGGCTGACATTGCCAAACAGTAAGTCAGAGAGACTGGCTCCCTTCTCAGGCCATGTCCCTGTGACCTAAGGGGCTGCCCTAGGCCCCACCTCCTAAAGGTTCCACCCCTTCCCCGTAGGGCCACCGTGGGGACCAAGCCTTTAAACACAGTGGACCCTTGTGGAACACAAAACATATCTAAACTCCAGCACCCCTCCCCCCATCTCTTGGTAAAAAGGCAGAAATAACAAATAATGAATATTAACCTCCGTTTACAACATTTGTGAGCACTTTCTCAGAATGAGGCAAATTTCACATTATTGAAACCACCAGGATGTAGTAGAGTTCTTGCAAAAGTCTTTGAGTGCCTTCTTTTTTTTGGTACCATAGATCGAACTCGGGACCTTGTGCTTTTTGAGGCAGGTGGTGGAACCACTGAGCTAAATCCCCAGCCCCTTGAGTGCCTTCTTAACACTGAGTTTGGCTTCTAAAGAACAGCGAGGAACCTGTCAACCAAAGCTCCATCAAGTGACATCTCGCCCCAAGGAGGATTATAAAAGGCAGAATTGCTACCTCTTCAGAAGCATTTCTGTGTGTCAGCTTTTTCTGGTTCCCTCAGGAATAGGGAGTTCAGATCCTGAAACTTGAAAACGATTAATTTCTTGTGCAGAGGGCTGAAACTAGTGTGGTCAAAGTCTGGTGTCAGTAATATTATGACCACAGAGTCAGTGGGTGATGGAATAGCCATGTTGCTGGTCCCCTGATGGGGACTGCATCCTGCTTAGTGTGAGTACACCTCCCAGTTTTAGTACTTCAAAACAACTGTTTGCCCACTGTCCAGCACTCTGGGAGAATTGGAGCCTGTCCTTGCTATTGGTCTGACCCCTGTCTCACAGCAGAAGGGATGGCAGCTCCCTCCTGCCCCTCTGGGAATTCTCGGTATTTGGCCTCTCGGGAAAATCACTCTCCCAATACTCCCTAGTAGTTTCCTCATGTATCTTGCTGATACTGAGTTAATTTCATGAAACAAGTGTGTGAATTTTACTTTGCAAGTTGAAATATACTCATATACTGTAAGACACGGTATATGAGGAATAATTTTCTAATTCTCCAGTTACCAAACTGTTACAAACAACTGAAAGGTACCATGGGATTTTCCTTCGTGGACCACCTTGGGGTGGGAGGCAGGGGCAATCCTGGGCCATCTTCCCCCACCTAACCTGCCTCAGCCCCAGGGCTGTCCTTTGATTTGTTTTGAATCCTGGGATTTGCCTAATATTTTGTTTGTGGCTCTTTAAGTAAATCAGCTGGGTCTCATTTCATGGGGTGAAAAAATAGTCAAGATATTTGCACATGATTTTCAGTAACTTTGTAAGGAGGGGAAACTGTGGATGAGTTATCACTGGAATGTTGAATTTTTAATTTGGAATTTCCTGAGTTTGGGGGACAGTTTTAGAGTAGAGACCATGAAGATGCAGCTCATGGGGTCTGTGTCCAGAGCTAGTTCCCACATGTTCTTGTCCCAGAGTGGGCAAGTGGCCAGGTGGGGCTTGGGAAGTGATTCTTACCTAGATATGCTGCGTCCCTCCATATCAACCAAGTTGGTTTTTTTATTTTTTGTTTTCCTGGAATTGCCTTCCCGATTTACTCTGTTACTTAAAATCTTAACTGCACGAGACTTACCTCAATTTCCACATTCCCCAAAAAGACTGTGCAGGAACTCCCACCAATGTATCTATATTCTTTACTTCCTCAATGCCTGTGATAATTTATGTCAGTGGTTTCCATTCTTAACACTGGATTACACATTTCTTTTATATTCCACAGCATCTCATACAGGATTTGGTAGAACACTGGGTGTTCAGTTAGGTGTTGTTGAATTATACCATATTTCTCAGCCGGGATTCCAGGCAATCGTAATTTAAGACTAGGTAACCCTTTGTGATTAGACTAGATTAGTAGTGTCACATGCAAACGTATTCCTCTGAAATTCTTTATTTTGATTTTAGGGAGAAATGGTGCAGAAGGGAACTTACACTGAGTTTCTGAAATCTGGAGTAGATTTTGGTTCCCTTTTAAAGAAGGAAAATGAGGAAGCTGAACAATCTTCAGTTCCAGGGACTCCTACACTGAGGAATCGTACCTTCTCGGAGTCTTCAGTTTGGTCTCAACAGTCTTCTAGACCCTCTTTGAAAGATGGCATTCCAGAGGGCCAGGATGTGAGTTCTTCTAATGTTACAGCCTGACTTGGGGTGCTTATGAATTTTAGGTCTGCTCTTCTCTTGGCAGCCTCTGTGGCTCTGAGCTTCCTTTTTGTATCCAGAAGCTTAATTTGAAGACCCCTTAGCCCTTGCCTGGATGTGGTCTACATTAAATCAACTACTTTTATGATTTGTTGGCATGTCCTGACCCTGCAGGTAGCTGATGGTATTCTTTTGCTCTGTTTTCAGATGTAGGCCAGAAGTAGCATGTGCAAGGACCTGCTAACTCCTTGCTCATTATTGACACTTTAAAGTTAGTTCCGTCTTTTTTTCTTATTCTTCAAGCCTGAGAGCCACATCTTACTCATCTCTGAATGCCCAGCACTCAGCGTAGAGCCAAGAACATCCTCAGTTCCTGTGACTCTAAATGTATTCTAAGTCTTCCAGGCAGGAATGCACGAGACCTCCCTTAGAGAAGAGTTACCCCTTGGTATTGGTAGGGGATAGCTTCCAGAATCCTGCAGATACCAAAACCTGAGATGTCCAAATCACTTGTATAAAATGGCCTAGTATTTATTTGTATGTAATCTATGCACATTTTTCCATGTGCTTTAAACTATCTCGCAGTTACTTTAATACAACGGAGGCACTATATAAATAGTTTTATATTAAATTATTTAGGGAATAATGACAAAATAAAAAGTCTGTGCATATTCAGTTCAGGTACAGTTTTTTTTCCCTGAGTGTTTTTGATCCTTGGTGCAGAACCTACGACGCAGAGGTCTGAGTGCAAATGTGGGTCTTCCTTGCTAGCCAAACCCTCCCTATCCAAACCAAGGAGCCTGGGTGACTCAGTGAACATGAGTGAGGTGGTTGCACCCCCTTGCTAGCCAAACTCATTACCCGCATGTACCATTTGAACTCAGTCACTGGATTTGCCCAACATTTTGGGCCTCTACTCTGTTTTACTTGTTTTTTGTTGTTGTTTTTGGGGTACTGGTGATGGACTTCAGGACCTCGTGCATGCTAAGCACCCCCAGCCTTTTAGTCTATGTTTCCATTCTTTTTTTTTTACATTTTCATCCTTGAGGGATGCAAATAATCTAAGTGAAACATTAGTTCTACATCATTTTCTTATTTTGGAATAAGCATTTACACTTGCATTTGGGTATGATAGGCATGTGCTAGAAATTATGGTGCTCTAGTTCAAGGAAAGCCACACTACAACATACAAATGCTGTCCTCTTAGTTCTCATAGACCCCTAAAGTGGGATGGCTGGGTCCTGGGTGAATGGCATTTACAGACTGGGAAGATAACTTGCACACCCTACTCCATGGAAGATGGATCATTTTACAGTCCTACCAGTCACGTATAATTTGCCTGTTTTCTCACAGCTTTGCTAACAAGGTGCAATGTCAGCTTCTGAAACTATTTTGGGTACTATTTTGTTTCTTACAGACAGAGAATATACAGGTAACACAAACAGAGGAGATCCGTTCTGAAGGGAAAGTTGGCTTCAAGGCCTACAAGAATTACTTCATAGCAGGTGCATCCTGGTTTATCATCATTTTCCTTACTCTGCTAAACCTGGCAGCTCAGGTAAGGAATATTTGCCTCCTCAGAGTGACATTTACACACTCACATTTATGCTGTGGCCACTGCATTTTGCGGTTCACTTGGAATTTGCTTTAAAGTACGTTGTGTGGAGGACCAACATGAGTGATACTAGCTGGGGTTGCATATACATTACAAAGACCTTCTAGAAGGGTGCACAGGTAATGGGGAAAAAAATAAGAACCAAGATTCATCATGTACAGGTGCAAGCACCCAATGATAAATGTAAACATATTGTATACTTAAAATGTACCAATAAAAGAATTAAAAACAAAAAAAAAACAAACAGAGCTTCTACAGAAGAAAGATATAAAGATTTTAAGATGTGCTGTGTACTTCCCCAACCTGTTGTTGTCTGGGAAGTTGGGCTTGGCACAAACCTGAGGCAGGAGCCCCTCAGTTTTCTAGAACCTTCCTTTTAGTTACACACTGTTGTGGTGTAGAGTTCTGAACTGAAGTTGTGCCAATGCTGAATTTCTTGTTCCCCTTCTCCAGGTTGCCTATGTCCTTCAGGATTGGTGGCTTTCCTACTGGTGAGTTATTCCTGCTCTGACCTGAAGTGCTATGAAATCAACACGAAGCCTCACTTTTCCACAGACTTCAGGGGAGAGGTGGATTTTGTTGAGCCTTCTCTTCTAATCCTCACTTAGTTACCTGAAGAAAAATTAAAGTTCTTGCTGGTGGAGTGTGACCCATAATGGTCTCCACCCACGTCTGATCCTCAGTCGCATGTTGAGAACTGAAAGTCACGATTCAAATTGAATTTTTATAAGGTGGATGTATAAAGGATTGTGTGCACCGGGAGTCATTTTCCAGCACAAAACATTTTTTTCCAAATTGAGGTTCATTTTTTTGTATTTATCTAAATTCTATCTGTAGCTTAATATTTTTTCTCCCTCTCCTGTTCCATAGGGCAGATGAACAAAGTATGCTGAATGTCACTGTAAATGGGGAAGGAAATGTAACTGAGAAGCTAGATCTTAACTGGTACTTAGGAATTTATGCAGGTAAAGTTTAATCATTTGGTCTATTATATGAGAGCCTGAAATGCTTACAATGAGTCAGTGTGAGAAACTGGGGCTTCTAGGAGTAATTCAGTAATGTCTTAACAGATTAGGAGTCTGAGTTGCATTTACCCTGTGAATTAATTAGAATAATTATTTTTAAAATCTACTGGAAGAAAGAAGCTGAATGGAGACTCTTAATTTGCTTTCTACTGGATTTTGAAAGTGAAACTAGGATTGAGCATTCAGAAAATCAGCCACTGGAAATATGTGGCCATTGTCTATTCTAATAGGTTGCTTTAGCTAAATCTTATATCATTATATGGCTGGGCAAGGGGATTAGAAACGGATCCCCACCCTGTGGTTCGGATTGTTCCAATTCTGTCTGAATAAACCCTGGCTTTTATTGAACTTGGATGAAATCCTCTGGCAGCAAGGACCCCAAAATAAAAGCATTATTTCCTCCCAGGTATGCAAAGCTCCCTTCTCTACACTGCTCATCTCTCGGGCTTCACTAATTACTTAAGAGGGAAGCTAAGCAGGGAGAAACCCAGTGTTTGGGAATTAGGGCTCCTTCTCTTTCTTACCTGGTGATCACACTGTTATCTTATCCCCAACTGTGTGATTAATTTAACATTTGGCTTGCCAGACTAATATTAACACTACACTCTGTTTTCACAAGAGTGCTTGGAATATATGTAGCATTACATACTTTTTAAAGGAAATCCTCATCTAAATTTTTAAATATGTCCACAGGAGACTCTCATAGAAGCTTCTTCAGAGGTAGAGTGAGTTAGCCTTTTAAGAACCCACTCACCGAAATTTGGTATTTTGTTGATCTCTTGCTAAGAAATCAAAACTCCATTAGCTGTTTACTATCCAAATTGGTGGATGAACCGAAACCCAAAGGAGAAAGAAACAGAGTTTCATTGTATATTCAGCTAGGGTGGCGGGCTAAGTTACTGGAGTTTCAGAATTTGTGCAGCTTTCAGAGGTGAAATAATAGTGCTGTGTTGTTACAAGGGGGAATATTTATTCCAGAAGCTATCCCCACTCCATGCAGCTCTGTGAATGAAAAGTAAAAGGTGTTAGGAAAGCAAAGCAGGGGCTGGGTGCGTGGCTCAGTGGTAGTGCACTTGCCTGGCATGCTCGAGGTGCTGGGTTTGATACCCACCACCACCACACACACCCACACCCACACACGTGTGCATGCATGCCCAAGACAGAGAGGGAGAGTTCGATTTTATGTGCATAGTGGCTACTCATGAGTGTCTTAATAAAATATAAAATTTATTATATTAACCATGCTTTGTCTTTATAATAAATCATTGGCAGATTAGTTGCTTATTGAGATTATCTTATGTTAAAATATAACATTTTCTTGCGATTCAACTATTTAAAAGCTTTTCCATGTGCAACTTAATGTGATATTTTCAAATTCTTTAAAGCTCCTTGGGCATTTTCTACAAGGAAAAGGTAAATCATTTCTCCTATTCCCTGTTACTATCACATATTGGTACCAAAACATAACAGGATGTTAGACAGTAGGACGTGTTGTAAATAATAAGATCTAGAATATGGAGAAGGGGAGGATCAACTACTTACTAATGATTATCTTATAGGTTTTTAAGAGAACTTGTAATTGAAGTAGGAAAACTTGATGAAATTGTAGTTTGTACCTCATGTAGTTTTCATGCAGTAAGAGAAAAATGAACTATTTTAATTCTTCTTTGTCAGTGTATCTTGTACACACATTACACTTTTTTACTTACTTTTATACACTGCTTGACCTGCTTTAGCATCCAAGAAAATGCAAAGATCCTGTTTCTGAAGGTGGCTCCTTTTTTTTCAGGTTTGACTGTAGCTACCGTCCTTTTTGGCATAGCAAGATCTCTGTTGATGTTCTATGTCCTTGTTAATTCTTCACAAACTTTGCACAATAAAATGTTCGAGTCAATCCTGAAAGCTCCAGTATTGTTCTTCGATAGAAATCCAGTAGGTAAGTCAGACACCACGTTTCTCAGTGTCTTAACACATTGAGATCTGGCCACATTTTGGTCTTTGAAAATGGAGGTATCGCCAGGAAAAAATTGCTGTGTGTGTTGATTCATTTTCTATGAAAAGCTTCACTGATATTTTTCTCCTTTCAGAGGAAATCTAAATACTGGGGAACATACAGCCTGCCTTTCAGCATGTATGTGTGTGGAGCAATAAATGGATGTTCACTTTGCAGAATGATTTAGGAGTGCACTTGTTGCATGGTGTACGAAGCATCCTGCATCCATGCAAATGTGTTTAGCTGCAGTCGATCAGTTGCTAAGACATGGGATGTGCTTACACTGACTTAGCCTAGACCCATTCTGGAAGGGTCTCCTTAGAAGCAGAGCTCTCTGAGTGTGAGACAGGCTATGTGTTCTTTCCTTGGGAAGCCCATCCATTTTAGCAGCTCCCGAGCTTTTGAATGGGTTTACCTGAGATGGTAATGAAATGATAATAAAACCCAAGGTTAATAAAATGTAAACACATCCTTCAGTGAAGTTTTAAACTCTGTGCTTTTAAAAACTCTTCTCCTTTGTTCTCTTTGTCTTTGGTAGTTGTTGTTACTGTCACCCGTAGCCGTCTCTTGGCTTTGTGGTCTCAGAGTGGACCTGGGGTGCATACCAGAGGCTTTGTGGTCCTCGTGTGGAGAGCCTCGGTAGCTTGTGTCTCCAGAGCTGTGCACCTGTTAGTTTCAGAAGCCTGTTAGTGACAGAAGCCCCTGCCCTGCATCCCTCTGACCCATCTTGGCTTCTGAAGGTGGCCTCTTCACCCTGTGTTCCTGAGAAGAGTTAATCATCACTACATATCCCATCCTGGTCAGTCGGGAGGCCCAGACTGGCTTTGTTTATGCAGGTGGTCATTGAAAGAACCCATAGGGGCAGGGTGGGGCCCTGCATCAAGCTCAGCACTAGCTGCAGTTGGCCATTGATTGGCTGTGTGGCCAAGGCCAAAGCATGTGATACCATCAGGTGGCAAATCCCAAAACAGGATGTCCTGGTTAAAGTATGGACCCTGGAGCCAGCTGCCTGGATTCAATCTTAGCCCTAGTACCTAGTAGTAATAGCTGGTTGTGGTTATTTTTACACTCATGTGGTAGTTACTTAATTTCTCTCTACCTTGTTCTTATCTATGAAATGGGGACACCATTTTTATCTACCTTATTGAAATCCTGTGAAAATTAAGCAGGTTAATGTGTTCCCAGTGCCTGAAGCATTGCCTAACCTATGATCCTTGCCCAGCTAATGTTAGCAGCAGTGATAGAGTCTCCGAACTTCACAGTCCTTACCTGTGGGATGGAAGTAACTTCCACCCTTCCTGTTTTACATGGTTGCTGTGAGGGTTAAATAAGACTTTTCTGGAAAGCATCTTGAATAGATTTACCCAACCCAGCCTGTGTTCAGCCTGGGCACTGTGCAGAGTTTAAGGAATTATGAACTGCAGAGACTGCACAAATAACACGATCTGACTGCAGCTGTGCTGAAAGAGTGGTTGCAGGATGTCTGTGCCGTCGGGGTATGAAGCTGTTGCACTTTGCCAGTTACAGACAAAGTGTGTCGCGCAGCGCAAGTGGGCCTGACTGTTATCGTGAGCCTCGGAATGTGGCAGAATGCTGTTAGCCAGGCCCTTCCTGGTCAAGACCCCAGGCTTCTCCTCATGTCCATTTGTTTATTATGCAGAGATTTAGGGCCAGCTCAGTCTGGGAGGTCACTAATCTTACAGCAGCACATGGGCATTCATCTTGCCACCCCCTTGTTATATCTGTTAGCAGGGCTTTATCTCTTCAGTGAACTAGGTGCGTTGTTTGCCCAGTATGCTTAGAAGTGGTGAATTTTTTAGTGGTACTTTTTTGATGATAGATTTAAGATAAATGAAAATTGTTTTTTAGATTTCTGTTTTCACTTAGATAAAATGTTTGCACTTTTGTCAATGATGGACATGCCAAAGCTATAAATTACACCTAATAACTTACATTATTAATTTATATACTGTAATGGCTCTAGAATATATATTTAAAAACTCACCTTACAGTTACTTTCTTCCTAGTATGGAGTTCAGAGCAAGCTCTCAAGGGAGCCCCGGGGTCAGAGTTTCCTAGGAGCAGCATCCTGATATCCTCCCACATTTTAGAAACTGAGGGAACAGAAAGAACACATGCCAGCTGTATTGTTCAGTAGGCCAGGTGTGGGGGGAGTGACACCAAAGCTCCAGGTTGAGTCCCACTTGGTTTGCCCCCTGCAGAGCCTGTGCTTGGACCCAAGGCCTAGCCAAAGTTCCTGTCCCTCCCCTTCTCCAGTCCACTTGTGTTGGGATGGCTTGGCGACCCTGGAATGTAGGAGCATCTTTTCCACCATCCATGAGTGCTTCAGCCCATTGTGCTGTCCTTCCTACACCTTCATCCCTGTTGCTAATCAGTGGGAGAATCTTTGTCCTTAGAGACCCAGACCTTCCACGGAAGCTGCTTAAAATACCGGCTGTGGTACAAGAGTCCCACATTCGCTTATTTACATTTAGGGATCTGAGCAAAGCTAACTCGAAAGGTACATGTTTCCTCTGGAGAGTGAAGTTTCTCTGACTGAACTTCATCGTTCCAGATAGCCCATGTCCAAGGAGGTCACACATCTCCAAGGCATTAAGTGGCTCTCTAGTTTGAATTTGGGTATGGGCACATGAAGTTTGTGTTATATGATATGATCCCTTACTCATCTTTCTTAACCTGAAAAATCTTAACGTATTATTGTAAAATTGAACCAAAGCATTATGTGACAGCCTATTAAGATAACTGGCAAGAGACACTTTTCTTTCTCCTTTTCTTTTACTTCTTCTTATTACCCATCTCTGTTGTTTTGTCCTGTCCTGTTTTTGTTTGTTTGTTTGAGACAGGGTCTCACTATGTAGTTTCTTGAACTCACTATGTAGCCCAGGCTGGCCTCAAAAACTCTCTGCGATCCTCCTGTCTCAGCCTCAGATTACAGGTGTGTACCATCATGCCCAGCCCCAGTGAATTTTGGTAATGGTTTATGTGTGTCTGTTACAGACACTCACATTTTCAGCGCTGTCCACACTTTCTCCACAGTTTGATCATGACTTCACTGGAATAGCACATTTCACACATTATCTGATACCATTGGCTGCATCTGCCTCTTTTTTGTCAAAATTTGTCTTTGCTGTTAGTCCCACTGCAGTTCAATCAGATCAGAATTAACGGGTCGCCCAAATTCCAGGTCAACAGTAAGTCATTCAGAGTGTTAAGAGCTGATTTGTCTTTTAAATGGAAATCAGGTTTGCCTTGGTGGGCCAAATCCATGCTACTTCTGCATTCAGCACAAGGGGGCAGCAGGCTCTGCAGGATGCAGGGGCAGACTCAGCCCACACCTGGCAAAACCCAGGTTTGCTTTTAAACCTTTCTTGGAAATCCCATTTTTATCGTGTGGGTCTTTGTACCTTGCTATGTATTGATAGAGGCTTTTAAAAGCATTTTCTTTACTTTTTGAAACATTAAGCTGTATTAAGAAAATATTAAGATGTTGTCGAGGAAAGCCCTGAATTTCAAACGAAGGTATTTGGATTCCAAACTAACACTTTGTCCTGTAGTGCCTGGAATAGACAGACGGGACTTCTTGGCTGGATGCTTTTTAATTCCTAAAAGATAGATTCTGGCCATTTGTAGGATCTGCTTCTGTTTCCTTTGAAATGTGAGTGTAGGGAGAAAGAGAACCATGTTTTCTTGGATTTTCGTCCACACCATGAGAGTCAGCAGAAACCTTCTATTCCATCAAGTTTCTCTGTTCCCCTGCTTTGATTTGGAGACGAGCTGAAGCTGAGTGGCTGGTTGTCTTGCCTTCTCTTGCCTAATTATGGCGACGTAGCACGTCGCCAACTCTACTGATGTTAGTAGATAAATATTTCCAGATAAATATTTGTTTGGCTATTAAACTTTTTAAAATTTGGCTTTCAGAAACTGAGCCACCGGTGTCGGTGGATATGTTTGTTTATTCTCTTGGGAAGTACAGAGTTAATCTTGGTTGATGCCCAGTCTGTTCATTCACACAATCGATTTTTCTGCAATGTGTGTGTATGCTCATTTATGCATTTTGCATTTTTTATGCAAAAAGTACAAATTTATATCATCCTTTTTTCTTTATGGCCTGACTTATATGAGAGCTAAGACAGAGAAAAAGAGAAAAGAAACATGCTGACTTCTGTTGTATTTTAATTTTTTTTTTCCTGGAAAGTGCATGTCGTCGTGGAACACGAGCAGTAGCCCTAGATTTTTGAAGCAGACGTTCTCATATCCTCCTTAATCAAAAATCTGGAGTTGCCCCAGTGCCAGTTCCCAGCCCAACTGAGTGGGAAATTAGGCTTTGTAGATGACTTCCCGAATGTAAACTATCCCGAATCAGGCTGTGCATCTTAGAGGGGCTGGAGGAGGAGGGCGGCGTGGTATGGACTATTGTTCCCTTTCTGTAGCCTGGAAAGGGACTCCTGAAGTCACTGCAAGTTGCTAAATAACTTGCAAACAAGGGAAAGGCGAATTGAAAAGTAACATGGTGAGCTTTTTGTGTTATCAGAAAGACACTCTTGCCATACTACTTAGAAAATCAGTTGTCAACATACGGCTGCCTTCTCAGAAAAGAAAAGTCATCAACAGAGAAGAAATCTAATTGCAGGGATGCCAATCTGTTTATTCAGTTCAAATGACCACTAGAGTTAGTGCTAAATGCATATTTTAACAAGTGTAATATTTCAGCACTGTCAAAATTACCCTGACAATAATAGGCCTGTTAAATTATAGCTCTATAAGTTTGGAGGTAAAATGGCTCTGCTTAGCACACATTAATCTATGCCTGTTCACACAAGTACTTGTGCTGAGCAGGTAGCATGTTTGAACAAGAAATACTAGTCTTAAAACCTCTGATTTATGGTAGGTGTTGTTTTGACGCAGCGTCATCCAGACGATTT